AGGTGCTAAGCATTCGTCCGTTATGTGCCGAACATCATCATAGCAAAGTAGCATCGTCACAACCAAATTTAAGCTAACGAGTCAAGAAAACAAAAAATAGGCTTATCAGCAAAACCAGACGTGTGTCCGACCTTGCGTAATCGGAATGATGGTTATAAAATGTAGGTAGAAATGGGGAGATAATGGTCATCAAAACTTGAAGACCGAGAACAGACGTTACTTTTGCTGTTCTAATTACTTTGAGTCATCACCGCGGGTTTCGTGCATAAGCGAACAAAAACAGGCACATACGCATGCAGAGAAAGACACTCACAGGCTTCGAAGTTGACCTATGACCATAACTAACCAAATCACTTTAAGCCTGATCAAAGAAACCAGAGTTAGAGTATATATACCGCTTTTTAGGGAATTGTCGGTGAGTTTTCTTTACTCGCTAGCTTGAATTTTGTTGTGACGATGTTACCTCGCTCTGATGAAGTCCGTCTTATGACGGACGAAAGCTTGGCACCTTTTCAACGGAATCGAAGGAGATTGCCTCGGTAACAGCGTCAGCATGAATCTTCCAGCAAAGCCAATAGACAGCTGGTCAAGAGGAACCCGCCGTCGTCTTCTGGTGGAACTGAACTTCGAATCTCTTCATTCAACACTTTAACTCGAAATCGAAGTAAGCTCAACGATCGAAAACATCATTAGATCCTTGCGTAACTTCCTCTGCATATAATATAGGTCTATCGTTTCTATGTGAGCTCAAGATTCATAAAATCATAGATATAAAGATAAAGATTCGGTAACAGTTTATTTTCGCTGTATAGACCTTTTTTGACCTCATTTTCACAATTTAGCCTTGATTTCTGTGAGAATTGAGGATATGAAACTAGAGGACACAATATGGAATGTACTCTTCTAAAATACCTTAGAAGTAGGATTAAATTGTGAAATAAAGTCAACATTTTCGGGCCAGAATAGCATCGCACTCACTCATCTACATGTGTTTGTTCATGCAGAAATGCACGACAATGTGTGGTCCAGCTCTGATTCCTTTGTGTATAAGACCCAACATGCTAGCTTCGAACCCCGCCGGGATTGTTTACGAGGCCTTGACGAGTCACAAATTGTAGTTGACTAAAGACTGGCTTTGTCTATTAAATTTAAAGGATCTGAGATGCTGTCATCTGTCTGCAGCATCTGATGAGTCAGGGAATTCGCAATTAAAATAGACTAGCATCTCTTCGTATAATCAAGTCCCAACAACATACCCAAATGCTATTTATAGTCAATATGTTTGGTGATTATCAGTAGATTTTGAATAGGAGCTTTAGTCACCCTTAAATCACCTTGGGTGACTATATTTATTATTTAAATAGTATTAATGGTCTCTAAAAACCGTTCATTATGAATATATAATGAGCTAAGCCAGTGTTTATTCACTTAAATTGTGAATTCTTTGAAAGATGTAAAATGTGCTTACTTTAACCCAGAATCTTTGGGAAACCCAGCCTAGACAACTCGATGTGAAATTTTATTTTTCGTAAGGCCGATGAATCGCTTTTAAAGCGGTTGATGTCTACAACCCGCTTTCTAACAGTATTGTGTGAATTAATCCTGATGGTGTCGAAACTGCAATCTAGGCAGGAGAAGAACACCTTTTCAGAGACAAGGCAAAGCGAACTTTGATGAGACCACGGGGACTTATACTCATTTCATTTCGTGAACTTCAGCACTCAGCCCTCACCTCCTCTCGAGCATCGAGTGGGTCGGTTTCACATATATCACCAGTTATGAAAAAAGAATTTAATTCACTCCTCTTTGTTTGAAAGGATGCAAGGAGGAAAAAAATGAAGTTATTCCAATTACATCAGTGTAAAGCAGTTTCGACCTCGTCTATGTCTGTTTCGATATCAAGTAAAACTGGGCTTCGAGGAATTTCTTTGTGATATGTTGTGACATGAATTTCCATTTCGAAGGAAAAGTTGGTTAGAAGGAATTTGCGACATGGTTTCACAGAAAACCGAAGAAAGATTACATTGTTGTGTTGTGCAAAGAATTCCTTGACTCGTCGTTCTGAGACCCCAATGAACTTGAGCTAATCCTTAGTCTGTACCGTCGTGACAGACATCATTAGAACAAGAAACCATACTTTACGAAATAGAACAATAATATGCTATACCGGGAGCAAAGGTGGCCGGTTACAACCCTAGTCGCCGCTTTTACACACCGAACCTTGCGATCTTAACAAGGCACCTCATGATTTGGTTGGCTACTTCAAACTCAGCCTACATGCTTACTGATGATGAAACACAACGTTTTGCGGGTTGCGGGAACTTGGCGCCAAAGGTTAAGATTAGGGAGGCCATAGAAACTAAGAAATCAGCCAACGTCTTGAATAGAAGAAACAAGTGCAGACAAGTGAGTAGGAACTATTTGTGGATGTTGAACAGGCTTGAGGTGAGGGAGAGGGAGGGAGTGCAGGAAGAGCCAGTGAATAAGAGATGAAGACTCGATTAGCCTCGTATCTGGTCCGAACTATCACACTTCCCATGACATGAACATTACATACACACACATAAGACAATAGCATAAACCAAAACATGAGTCGACATTAGGGGATTGTACGCTAATTCAACTGCCATACGACGCAGTTCCGGTTTGTGAAGTGACTTGACCCATCTGCCAGCATGTAGAGTAAGTTTGAGGTAGCCAGCCAAATCAGGAGATGCCTCATTAAGGTCGCAAGGTTAGGTGTAGAAAAGAAGCGACTAGGCTTGCAACCGGCCACTTTTTCTCCTGGTTCAGTATATTTTTGCTCTTCTTCATTAAGTGTGAATACTTGCTCTGATAATGCCTGTCACGGATATACAGACAAATGTTCATCGGGGTCACTTGACTTCTTCGCATAATCAAAATATTTCCATTCTGCTGCAGTCCTCCTTCGGCTTCCAGGATGCCACATCATACATTTATTTCGAATTGGAACTCCATGTGATAATGTTTCAATATCAGTTTTACGGTCGTGGATGTCATCTTTAGCCATACCCGCGAATTGATGATGGATGACACCGCCACTTGTCATGTACCACCCGAGCTCGAATCCCCTGGGGCGTGTTGATGAGACCCAGTCCCAGAGAGGGAGGCCTGTCAGGAGGTTAGGCTGATTGGAGCGAATAGCATCGTGGGCTTTTCAATTCGATGTACAGCTGGCGAATCAACTATCCGTCCATACATCACCTTGACCCAGGCTGATGGGATTTCTCAATCATCTCAAATGTCTCGGCGGCACAGGAGGGCTTCAGTCTCACCTCCTCACCCAACTGCACCATCGCTGGTGGGAGTCCATCTGCACACACGCAACCTGGCCGGGCAGGCAGATTCGAGAGGACCACTGTCCGAACAGACCGGCCTCGATGTCCGGTTTGGATGGCTAATTTGATATGACTTCGGCGGACGTAAGACCCATTTAGTGTGATTCAATCTGACAGGCCGACGAATAGAGACGTGAAAGTACGCCAGCACACAAAGAAAACACAACCTCCTGCCCATCTTGAAATCGCCCAACTGTGACGATTGGGCAAAACTGACAACCCCCAATGAGAACAGGAGGCAAACGAATCTGCAGCGCCTCGTTCAGTCTCGACATCGTCGAGGCACCGGTTCCATTGTGTCTGCAGACCCTGTAGAATTCTCCACCCGCCGCATCAAAGCATCAGCTGTTGGGACGCCGACACTGAGGCCTGCAACAATAGAGGTGTCACAGTGTCTATATATGTATATGCATATGCATGTGTGTGTATGTGTGTGTGTGTGTGTGTGTGTACATGTGGATGTATATTCAAGCTGACAAAGGGTCCTGCTGTGCCAGGACGCGCCATGAGCCGGCTCTTTGGTAGAGCTCACGACAGCCTGTTCACGGGGCCCATTGCTAACGTACCGAGTGGTCACACCCTTTTGATGCGATATGTGTCAATCTCTGTCCCACTGCTAAAGTCAGCCGGACATATGTTTTCGGCCCTCAGGTAGACCGTCAGAATAAAGAATCTGCCGGACACACCCAGACCAGACCAGCCCAGCTAAAACAGGCCTGACCGCATTGTGCCCAAAATGCCTTGCATAAAACGGCGTAAAACAACGTAAAACGACGTAAAACGGCGGTAGAGGCCGAGACTTAAGACAACTAGTTCTGCTTACAGATGAGTCGAATCACTGGTTAACATGAAAAGGGTCATCTTTTACGCTCAACACGCCGGAATTCTGGCTGATTTGTAGTTAATTTTCCTGTCATTTTTGTAGTCTTGATAATTTCCAGCACTGGATCTTCGATTTGGCACATTCCTGGACCTTTCATATAGTCAGTGAGAAGCACCATCCTTGTCACCATATATCATCTTGTCAAAATGAGAAGCGAAAGTTCCTAGCGCTGCTTCCTAATCCTCCGATCCCACCTTATATTATCCATCTTACTAACCCTCGTTGCTCCTAAGGGGGCATAGTGTATGCCCCTTCAAGTGGACATATCAAAGTGGAATTATCTTCATCTCCGGATTAGCATCCCATCTTCAGAGCTTCCTAATCCTATTCGGTACTTCACCAAAATTCAACCTAATTTTCCCTTCTGTCTCACTCGATAATTATTCCTTTTGATTGAAGTTAATAGTCCCTCCTGTCAATTTTCAGTATGTCAAGGCTCAAATTACAATAAATAATAAGTGCGTTTTGGTAGATATCCTAAAAATAATTGTTGAGCTAACTTTCATTTCATGTGCAAGTGTATAATGCACAGATTCGCGTTATTCTGCCTTAGTTTGATTTTTAGAGACTTTCAGACGGACGCAATCACAAAGGCATTATTTTTCAATCCTGGTGGAAGGATGCTATACTTTTTTCTGTCATGCCACCCCATAGACATCATCAGAGTTGGAACCCATTCTTATTTCTCCTTGAAGTTTTCAAGAGTCAAGAAAATTAACTGGTCCACCCCAGCTATAAACAAAAAGGATCGAAATGTATTCACCATATTTCGTTGAAGGTGATAAGATAATTGAATTTTTTCACAATTATATGAGCAGCTTTCACGCTTACATTGAATTTCACATAATGTTGCTTTTCCATAAGGTATTTTGACCCAGGATGGACTACAGTTTCGACCTCGCCAAGGTCTCATCATCACCCACTTTGGCACTCGGACCATAAAGGGTCAAATTATAATCTCGACACGTTGACGACTACACCACATTGCCACAGGTGTCCTTGGGTCACAGGTGGGCTATGCATCTTAATGAAGGCCAGGTCGTTCCCTACATCACATTCTGGGGTGCGATTTTCGATTAAGCAAAGTTGTGTTTGCTATTGCAATCAGCCTCATTACTTAATTTTTGTCTATAAGTATGTTTTAGCGACAAGTAGTAGATCATGTATATGAGAAAATTCAGCTACAGTCCCCTTATCACCTTATATATATATATATATATAATCTGCTGGTCGTCTTGAAAACCTAATTGTAACCGAAAACATGAGTGAGTTCCAGGTCCAATAATGTGCTTAAATTCAAGTGACAAACGAATTCTCCGTCTTTTTTCACCAGAGCCAAAGTAATGTATTGCATGGACTGCGTCACTCTGAAAGTCCCGGTAAAATCAAACAGAGCGTACCAAACCGAATCTGCCTTCATCTTTGGTGTGGTTGACTTAGAATCTCTTCATCAAACAATTGACGCTAAATAAAACTCAGCCCCATCCACGAAATAATTGACTTTTATAACTCAATTTGTTCGAGACTATCCCATATTGTGTGCTGAAAATGGGAGTGAATCGCTTCGCAAGAAGGCCTGACTACCTTTAAATACATCCTTAATTGGATCAGAAGTCTGTATTTGTGGGCTCAAAGACCGATACTCTAGTCCTTTGGGCATGAGCCCATAAATGAGATTGGCTGAAAGAGATCTACTTCGTGAGCTTTTGTGCTCGTCTTTGAAGCTCCACTTTTATGGCCCTAATCCGACTGATAGTGAAGAATTTCGCTTGTGTGATGGTGTGAGATAAGCAGATTTGTAGGTCCAGTAAGCCAGATGATGATAAAAG